AAAAAGAGATGAAGAGGGTGCTCGCGCGCAGCAGATGGCGGCGCTGGCCGCGCGGGGCCGGCCGGGAAGAGGGTCCTGACGCCACAACGTAGCGGCGGCTAGTACCGCGTGGCCGTGCCGAGAAGAGGGTCGCGCGCGCAGTGATGTGCGGCGACTGGCGCAAGGGGCCCTGCGGGAAAAGGGTGCTGCGCGCGCAGCAAACGTGGAAGCGGCTGGCGCGCGGCAGACCCTGCCGGGACAGAGGGTGCTGAGCCCAACAACGTAGCGCGCGATGGCGCGCAGGGCTGCCGAAGCAGGGTGCGCGCGCAGGCAATGTAGCGTCATCTGGCGCGCCTGGGCTGCCGGAAGAGGGTGCCGCGCGCGCAGCATGTGCGGCGGCTGGCGCGCGGGGCTGCCCGGGAAGAGGGTGCGCGCTCAGCGATATAGTAGGCGGCTGGCGCGCGGGGCTGCTGGGAAGAGGATGCGCGCGCAGTGCATCTCGGGCGGCTCGCGCGGCGCGGGTGCGGGAAGGAGGTGGCCAACACAACCCCATATCATGGGGCTGTGCCCACCTGCGCGGCAGGGTGCACGCCAGTGATGTGGGGCGGCTGCTGGCGCGCGCGGCACACCCTTCGCGACAGGTGCTCTCGCGCGCAGCATGTGCGGCAGCTGGCGCGCGGGACCTGCCGGAAACAGGGTGCTGCGCGCGCAGCAGTGTGGCGGCGCTGGCGCGCGGGCATCGCCGCCGAAGAGGGTGCTGCGCACGGCAGCATGGTGGCGAACGCTCGCGCGCGGGCACCGGCGACCCCAGGGTCGCCGCGCGCAGCCACTGCTCGACGCACATGGCGCATGGGGAGAGCCGGAAGAGGGTGCGCACGCAGCATGTACGGACGGCGGCCGAGCGGCACGGGACGTCGGGAAGACGTGTGCGCACGCGCAGCAATGTAGCGGCGTCTGCCGCGCAGGAGCATGTCCGGGAAGAGGTGCGCGCGCAGCAATGTTCGGCGTCTGGCCGCAGGGGCACGCCGGGAAGAGGCTGCGCGCGCAGCAGCCATGTCACCCGCTGGCGCGCGAGGGCCCGCGGGAGAGGGTGCTGCGCGCGCAGCCATGTGGCGACCGCTGGCGCGCGGGGCCCTGACAAGGGAGAGAGGTTTCTGAGCGCAGCAGAGTAAGCGGCGGCTGGCGAAGCAGGAGGCCATGCCGCGGCAGAGGCGCCGCGGGAGCCGCCCCGGCCGCAGCCGCCGCCGCCATGGCGAGTGAGTGCCCGCGCCCCGGAGCGCGGCCCTGAACCCCCTGTCCTCCCCACGGGGTCCCCGCGCCCCTGAACCCCCTGTCCTCCCCACGGGGTCCCCGCGCCCCTGAACCCCGGGAACGCGGCCCGTGCTCCCTCGTCCTTCCTATGGGGGTCCCCGCGCCCCTGAACCCCCCTGTCGTCCCCACGGGGTCCCCGCGCCCCTGAACCCCGGGAACCCGGCCCGCGCTCCCTCGTCTTCCCTATGGGGGGGCCCCGACCCTCCGAACCCCGGGAACGCGGCCTGCGCCCCCTTGTCCTGTCTACAGGGGTCCCCGCGCCCCTGAACCCCGAGACCGCGGCCCGTGCTCCCTCGTCTTCCCTATGGGGGGGTCCCCGCGCCCACTGAACCCCGGGAACGCGGCCCGCGCCCCCCTGTCCTCCTCCCGGGGGTCCTCGTGCCCCCCTGAACCCCGAGATCGCATCCGGTGCTCCTCCGTCCTCCCTATGGGGGTTCCCTGACCCTCTGAACCCCGAGAACCTGTCCTGTGCTCCCCTGTCCTCCCCACGGGGCTCCCCGCGCACCCCCCCGTCCTCCCTATGAGGGTGCCCCCGACCCCGTGAACCCCGAGAACGCGGCCTGCGCCCCCCTGTCCTGTCCACGGGGGTCCCCCCACCCCCCATGAACCCTGAGAGCACAGCCCATCCTCCCTTTGGGGGGCCCGATCCCCTGAACCCCGAGAACGCGCCCGCGCCCCCCTCTCCTGTCCTCGGGGGTCCCCGCGCCCCCGGCCGGGCCGCCTCCCCCATGACCCCGATCCCGCGCTCTTCGGCCCCATGAACCCCGATTCTGCGCGTCCTGCACCCCGATCCCCCACGTCCTAGATGCGGCCCACAGCCCTGAACCCCGATCCCGCGCTCCCCGGACCCCTGAACCCCGATCCCGCGCCCCCTCGAACCCCAAATCCCGATCCTGCGCTCACTGCACCCGGGTCCTGCGCTCTCCACACCCCCGAACCCCGGTCCCGCATTCCCCGGACCCCGGAACCCCGGTCCTGCGCTCCCTGCACCCCGACTCTGTGCTCCCCGACCCCTGAACCCCGATCCTGCCGTCACCAGACCCCCGAACCCTGGTCCTAGGCTCCCTGAACCTCGATCTTAGGCTCCCCAGACTCCTGAGCCCCGATCCTGCACGCCCCGTAGCCCTGAACCCCAATCCTAGGCTCCCTAGACACCCTAACCCTGATCCTGCGCTCCCTGCACCCCCGATTCCGCGCTCCCCAGACCCCCGAACCCCGATCCTCTGCACCCTGAACCCCGATCCTGCACTCCCTGGACCCCCGAACCCCAATCTTGCTCTCCCTGCACCCCCGATTCCACACTCCCCAGACCCCCCCGAACCCCAATCCTCTGCTCCCCGAACCTCGATCCTGCACTCCCTGCACCCCCGATTCCACACTCCCCAGACCCCCTGAACCCCCATC